TACAATAGCGACGATTATTATTTTAAAAAATTTTTGTTAGGCTTAACATCGATGAAAATTCAACGCAAAATAGGTTAATAGCGATATACTAATATACTAATTACATGGGATATAATAATATACTACACTAATAATGGATTTTTTCATACTTTTCGGTTATCCGACTTTTCAATTATCCGACCAACCCCAGTCCCCAATTAGGGCGGATAATCGAGGTTCTACTGTACTCAAAATAAAATTGCGTCTGGCGTTACCAGATATTATTAAAAATAACTTTTGCATTATTAAAGTTATAAAAATGAAAAACAAGAACAAAAGAAATAAATGTTATTTAAATTTATGCATCTAATAAGGTGTGCATACTTATATATTCGGAAATTTAATCATTTATTTTTTCCACTCGACTTCTAAACGAGCCAGAGTGGGGCGCTCTCCCCACCCTGGCTCGTTTAGTCAAACGAAAATTTATAGGTCAACAGGTCTTAATTGTGTTGCGCGGAAACAAAGCGTGTTTGAAACGTGGCGGGAAGAGGCTATCGTGCAGGTCAAGGTCTTATATAGACCTTGCTGCTGGGCAAGGTCTATATAAGAAGGTCAGGACACGCGTGACCTACTTTTCGAGCCGCCATTTTGGGGTTTTTCGAGTCGCGTGTTTTAAGCAAACTTGCACGAGCGGTCAGTTTTATACGACATGAATTAAACTAAAATTGCATAAATCCAGTGACTTCCAGTCAAAAATATAATAATAATTTCGGATGATTACGCGACCCCAATTTTATGTACAGTTTTCATCAAATAGTTTAAAAGAAACAATCATCCGTATCATTCGCTATCGTGATTGAAATTAATTAAATAGGCGCTAAAACTGATGCAATTACGTATATAGGCACTTCGTAAAGTGTTGCAATAACATAAAAAAAATTAAAGTATAATAAAGAATATAATAATATAACAAATTTATAATAATTTTTTTAAAGCACGATTGGCTATAAAATTAAGATGAAATTCAATAGTATTATTAATAAATATTGTCAATGTAATGCTCATTTTATAATAAATAATAGATGTGTAGATATATTTTTAATTTATAAATAGTTTTCAAAAAATTCCAAAAATAAAATTTTAAATTAAATTATTTGACATTAAACTGACAAATAATACTTGAATAGAATACAATGTACTCAAAGAAAATACAGTATGAATATTTGTTGCAGTAACAAAATAATGCTAAAATTTTCTTTCTTATAATTAAATAGTCAATTTTACTTTAATTAAATAAAACAAAAAATATCAATTTAATGTTGTTATGTGTTCTGCATTAATAATACAATTTAAAGTTTACTATTAAAAACGAATGCAAAAATATTAGTATTTTGCATTATATTTGATATATTTAAATATGAGAAAAATATTGAATCATTACACTTTAAATCCATACCAGAAAAATGTATCAAATGCACAATTCGGCTAAATTATTTTTACTAGTATTCTGAAAATGGGTGTACGAACACACAAACACTTTAAACGCACCCGATCCTTACATTTTTTCTCTCCAGAAAAAACAATTTGTTATTCAATTAAAATTGTTTTTTAAATGTTCGGGATAAAAGATACGAATGATCAGTGGCAAATAATTATTGAAATGCAAACGAAAAAATTAAATATAAATAAAATCAATTAAATATTATGGAATCTCTAGGTTATAAGAATTGGATATATTTAGATTTCCATCACGCCTTTTAAAATAAAAATTCTAACAATAAAATTAATGTAAATTTTATTTAAATTAAATTAAGTATAAATTACTTATAAACTAAACTTTTTGCAGACTTTACACACACAAACTCTTTGAACTGTATCATGAACTATCCGTTGATGTGTACGCTACATTTTGCTGTCCTCCGCTTATTTGCCGGAAATCTAAACAATCGAACGTCTGTAGATTTACTTTTACAATTTGGTGCCACACAATAACCCATTGTTTAAAGGTTTGAGTACTTATATAGTAATAATAGTCGACTCACGCAGGAACTACGTGTGGTGTGTAGTCTATCGACGAGTCCCAAAATGTCCGCTGCCGCGTAGAATTACGGGAGCGTGTCCTGACCTTCTTATATAGACCTTGCTGCTGGTCGGTGACGAGAGCGCTCTCTGGTGAACGAGTGGGGAACTGGCGGTTCGAGTATGGATGGTCTGTGATAAGACTGGAAGATTTTAGAATATTTGAGGTTCTGATTTAGCGGGAAAGTTTCAGATTTTTCTGTTCCCCATTTAAACGTTGCAATCGGTGCGAACGAGTCGGCCCAGTGAGTAGACGCATTTGAGCTTATTCTGAACAAGCTCAAATGCGCCAGCGGTTTGTTCTCAAAAACAGGTTCATTTGAAACGTCGTCGCGTCCACGCGCGATACTGAATTTCTTACTTCGTTTCAAATTAATAAGTGCTGTAATTACTTCTAATGTATGTTGTAAGTGTTTTAATAAATCCGTTAACTATCAACAGACGGTAAGAATGCCACGAGAAAATCTGCTTTTGAAATACATCGCGCCGCTACAAAATCAGAATTCGTCGTTAGTGTTTGTCTCGTAGCAAAATATTCGGCGGTCCCGCAACCGGTGGGAAATGCTCTTCGGTCAAAAAGTGTGGATTTACTTCAATGCTCAAATCGCATTAAAAAAAATCACAGACATGGTGAGAAAACACCGTGGAAATGCGGTTATCGAAAGTCAAACTGTTACAACAGAGGCAGAAACAATGGCCGAACATCTCGGAACAGATTTCGATATGCCGCGAGTCATAAATCATCAGACACATCGAGCGAGTCCATCGGCAGACTCCTAGGGAGTTTGGAGAATATCACTAATTATTCTCTACATAGATTCATTAAATTAATTAATTAATGATGTCTCTGAAACAGCGTTTTTCCAAGGAGAACTTGTCCGCATTCTGATTGTTTACGTTGCACCCTCGCGTAATGCTTGATATGACGTATGATGATTTAAAGAAAAACCTACAATTTGAATGATTGAAGCTGAACTTTGGTACAACCGATGGAAAGGAAGAAATGTGCCAAATGCCGAACTGAAGGAGATAGAAGTAGCTGCACTAGTTAAAGGAACGCAATTGTTCTGTCCATTTTAAAATCTCACTTGCATAGCCCCGCGCAACGTTCGGCACCTTACGCGGGGTAAAAACTTGGATACGGTCAACGATGACAGAAAATCGGATTGTGCGGTCTTCGAACGATGAATGTGCATAAAAAGAGGGTTCTGGAAGATAAAAACAAATTTGAGAAAAAAAATTTTACAAGATTTAGAAAGAATTCCCGTAGGCTACTGCTGAAATAAGATTTATGTAGGTTCGAATAGCGTTGCAACTAATTACTTTTTTAGCGTTTTCAAATGTTCAAATAAAACCATTTTTTAATAAATAACGTTATCCTATTATTGCCTCCCCCTGGAGAAAATCCTGGCTACGCCCTTGTGCATCAATATTAGCAGAGCCGTAACTAGGCAGGTGCAACAGGTGCATTCGCACAGGGCCCACTTGGAAGGGGGGCCAAAACTGCTGTTCACAAAAAATTATAGTTTTAAATCTTAAATTTTTCCTCCTTTTTATTGGCGATTACATTTTGTCTTATTTAGACCCTAGATGTCTGCTGACTTTTAGAGGGACGTATGGAGATAGAGGAGACCGCAGACAAATCAGCCAAAAGTAGCGACTTTTGAAATTTTGTTTATTTATTTTTTGAGAAATTTAAATTTATGTTTGTAGTTTTCAAATTTATAGATTTTTCTCTACTTTATAGAGCTCTCTGGCGACAACTAATATTATTACGATATACAAAACTGTATTTCTAGATTTTTCTACAGTGCGCAAAGCTAGAAATCTGTAAAGGGAACAGGTCGTAAAACTAAGTTAATACATGATAAGAAAGTGGTATAAATGAGAAAAATTAAAAAATTATCAGTCTGAAAATTTAACAATTCATTTTAATGACAAATGTATTCTGTGTTTACTTTTTCTCTTTTTTTTTGTAATATAAACATCACATTCATAAAACAGATTGTTTCCTTCAAGATCGGCGCAATTTTCATGAGCCCAACCTACACAAATCCTACACTGAACCATTTTGTAAGAAAAATAAATCTGCCCGGGGATTTTTTTAATTGCTAAATTGCTAAATAGAAAACGTGGTAACTCTCGAATAAAATCTTAGTCTCGAGGTTGTAAAAGGCGTGCAGAAATTCTGACATAACTTTTTGCTTTATAGTGATAGGCGTATGTGTTGTATACCTCAACGGCGGATTAAGCGGCAAGCGAACTATGCGGCCGAGAAGGGGCCCCCGAGGTCTTTAAAATGCTACTGGAAAAAAGGCTGATTTTTCCCTTTCTCTATGGCTCTTCTTTACAATACGTGAGTGTTGCTGATTTAAAAAAAATCAGCTGCAGATCTCGCTATTAAATATAGCAAAGATTTAAAAAAGTACGAATTCACGAGTGAAATTGAAAGTTTTAAGTTTGAAGTAACTACTCTTATACAAAATATAGAAACTGCATCTCCGCTTAATATTCTACAGGCTCTTCGTGATTTTGGTTTAATCGAGTCTTGCCCAAATATCAATGTCGCTCTTTGAATATTTCTAACTCTTCCCGTTTCTATTGCTTCGTGCGAGAGAAGTTTTAGCAAGTTAAAATTAATAAAATATTTATTAATTAAGATTAACTATCGGGCAAGAACGATCATCCAATATTTCTATTATTTCAATAAAATACATTATCTACATAAATTAAAACGCCTTAATTTGTTGCTGAGAAATATATTTTAAAAACAAACGTTTTCAACCTGATTAACAGGCCATCCTCAGGTCTAAAAAAAGAAAATGGAACAGATACGTTCCATGTATAGAATATAAATAGCCAAACAGCAAATACAAACTAT